TTTTAGCTCAATTACAAGTTTAAAATTGACATCTAGGCCAGTCAACAAAGGAAAAATTTCTTAAAAAATTCCCAACCAAATTTTGTTTTATTAATAGTTGAATTAAAATATGTATAATGACATACTAATAGTCCTCATTGATTGAAATTGAGCTTTTTTTTTACAGCCTCGCAAAAGTTCAAAAATATGAGCTTTTTTAATTTTTTCAAAAAATATTCAACTTACAAAAAAAGTTTCGTACAAAAGTTGTTTAAAAGACAATTATAAACAAAAAAATTTTCTTATATTTTTTCATTTAAACAAATATTTTTCGAGTTCCATTATATTTAATATGAGTACTAAAATTTATATTCCATTTTTTTCATTTTACGGTTACTTTTTATCATGTTACACTTACATTAGACACAATGTTATAAATGCATACGTGTGTATGTGTGAGTTTATTTATTTATTGTATCATTAAAGTGTAGTGTATATTAATATACAACCGATAGAGTAGGTAATTGATTTGACACTATATTGTTTAAACCAAACTAAACGCTGAATTGTACATTCCCAAACAACAATCATATTATGTCAATTGCCACCGGAATTTCTGATAATCTTTTTCTTTTTCTTTGTCTTAATCCCAACTACTTGGGGTCGGCCACCCTTATCCTAAGATTCCACATTTATAGGTTCTACATATAAATATTAAATAACCTCTTTTATAGATAATACATTTTTTCTATTATTTTTATTTGAAACTTTTTACCGTAGAATAAAAATTTAAAGGGGAAATCAAAAAAAGGTTTTTTTTTACTTTTCAATTCAAATAACCTTAAAAGCATACAAGATATCAATATAATTTTTAGATATTATTAAGAACGAAGTTATAAAGATGTGAACCAAAATTTAACACTATGAGACTTTTTTAAAGTTTTAAAGACTTTTTAATTTTAACTAGCTTGACAGAGCTGTATAATATATATAAAATTATGTGACAAATAAAATGATGAAAAGTACAAAAATATTTATTATTCACTTTTATGAATAATTATGTTAAAATATTTTAAAAAAAATTTGCTTAATAAATTACATTAAAAAAAATGTAGAGTTTAATATATTCACAATATTTTTTAACGAGTACAATAACTTGGTAAAAATAAACATGATGTAATGTATCCATACTTAAAATAACAATAAAATTTAAGTAGCTATAAATAACTAATATTCAAAACCAAATAGCTATTATTGATGCATTCAAATGTATAAAGAATAAAATAGATAACTAATTATTCAATTTTTTTTTTAATTCAGATATTCAAGCAATTTATAATTTTCAACAAAAAAATTTAAAATATTTGTGAAAATATTTCATATACTTCTATCGCTTTCTTTATAATATGACTATCATTTGGTACTATAAAATATACACAATAAATTCAAATTTTTATTAAATCCTTAAAAAAAATTTGAATGCTTTAATAATTTAATTAATTAACATTAATAAAAGATTTTGATACCAAATATTTTCCTAAATTTCATTGACAAACGACAGATTTGACATTTTACAAAACCGTTGAAATATATTTTTGATAAATAAAAAAAAATATTTTATGTTAAAATGATTGTTATTTTATTAATATTAATAAAGATTACAATTTAGAAATTTTATAATAAACATTTTAAAACAAGTCTATAATCATTGTATACAAAAAGTTAAACAATTGTTCGAAAAATAAAATATAGTAAAATATTTACTAGATTGAAAGTTATTAAGTTTGTCATATCTTCATAAATCACCTTATAAATATATATTTGTTTTTCATTTTTTTACTAAAAATATTACTTAACAGGGTTCATTTGCTGAAAATCACATTTTATGTGGAAACGAAGACATAAATATACAGGTTAACTATTTTAATGAACGACAAAAATTGGCATTAGTTATTGACAGATTCTGTTACATTATTTATAATGTTTTATTTTCTTATGTTTATTAATTTTATAGTATACGATTTCCAAATAATGTATTGTAAACATAATATAATTCAATTATTGTTAAAAAAAAATTGAATTATTCTCCTTCTCATCCTGGTTATTCAATAATACTTATTAATTTTAATATCTACTGACATTACTTTACAGCAAAAAAATAAAATCATAAATTAGTACATGGCTGCAATTGGAATAACATTTTTGTTGATAATTAATCCAAATGAATGTATTAAATATGAAAATTGAATTGGATTTATAAAAAAGTTGTGCTATTAAATTATTTTTAGTAATATTTAAAATTTAACGAACATATTACATACATCAAATTTTTCAATCATTTGTTTAAAATAAATAAAAAAACTAAATTAGATACAAGATAGAAAATTTTATATTATTTATTAATAACAAATTAAATTTAAAATAATATATTACTAAATATCTATATTTAGGAATACATTTAAAATCACATATTTCATATGTATTTCAGGAAATAACTACAAATTACCTTTGTTTTTTATGATTACGTGATTTACTAGAACCTGCTTTAGTATTTTGATCATCAACAATCAAAGATCCATTTAAAATATCTTCTCGACAATCACTCTTATCAATTGTATTTTGAGCTTCTAAAAAAAAATAAGGTGCCTTACTTGCTCTTTTAATTCAGTAATTTCCTAGAAAAAGTATCATAAAAATGATTAAAAAATAGATAGCCACCTAAACTAAATGAAATTCTTCGCAAAAAAAAATGGATAGAAAGTTTTTTCTTCAAAATTACACTATTTAACCATTTTTATTACCAATGTTATGTAAAACATATATATTTTGTTTACTTGGTCTTTAACAGTTTTATAATTTGTAAATTCTTTTTCTAATTGAGAAAATTTCACTTGCCACTCAACTTGATTTTTCTGTAAAGCAAAATTTATCTGGGATTCTTCATCTAATTTACTCTTTGTTTGTTCTAATTTAATATTCAAGTTTTTTATCTATAAATAATTACAAAAAATTAGTATAATTAAATTTACAGGAAAAAAAAAACAATGGATATTTGCAGTGGAGTACTATAAATACGCACATAAGTAAATTTTAGTGATGGGCATTTTCGAATATTTTAAACTATCGAATAACTATTTGAATTGTTTTTATACAACCGAATAGTTTATTTTTAGCATAAACTGTCGAATAGTTTTTAATACTATTCGAATAAATTAACGAATAGATTTAAAAAATATTCGAGTGGCCTAGAGAATGGTTTCAAAAAATATTCGAATAGTTCTATCTAAAATTTTTATTAAGTACACTTAATTATAATAAGAAGATAATTAACAAATATTTAAAATAAATTATTATACAATTAATAATAGTCAAAAGTACCATTTTATTTATTTTTAGTTTGTGAGTCATTGGTAAAAACTGATAAATATGGGTCAATTCAATATTAATTTCATTTTAAGTTCATCCCTTATACCTTGTAAGTGTATCAACTTTATTTTTTCAAATGGAAATTAATTAACTTATAGGATAGATAATAATATTATTAATAAAATGACTAATCGATAACAACTTCTGGACTAGTATTTCAGAAGTTACAGCATTTTAAAAAATGAACTGGTGTGAGTCGCAGGTATATATTAGGGTGGCTCTTATTTTACATCCATACCCACCAATTTTGTTTTTTATTATATGAAAGTTATTTGTGTAAAATTTTGTTTTGATATCTTATCTCCTTCAGGTCCAAATCGGGGTTGAAAATTCGCTCAAAAAAGGAATTTTTCATTTTAAGATTATTATTTTTAAAACTAACACACTTAATGTAACAATGTATAGAATATAAATGATAGATTTTAATATTTTCTTTTAAAATGGTATTTACAAAAATTTTCTAAAATTATTTTTACTTGCTCAAAAAAATAATTTGCTAAAATTCATTTTTTTAATATAAATCATTCTTCATTTTCGAAATAATCATTTTACAGCAAAATTTTTTGTAAAAAAAAAATATGTAAAGTTAAATTTTCTAAAATATTGGTCTTATGTTAAATTATAGTCAGATTTATAGTTTTACTGTTTTAATAACACTAACGATCTAAATAGTATTGTTTAAAACTATTTATTCAGCGTACTACAATTATAAATAGGATAGAATTAATGATAAAAAAAAAAATAGTGATGGGCATTTTCAAATATCTTAAACTATCAATTAACTATTCGAATTGTGTTTATACCACCGAATATTTTATTTTTAGCATAAACTATCAAATATTTTCTAAGCTATTCGAATGGAGCTACCGAATAGTTTTAAAAACTATTCGAATAGACTATCGAATATTTTTACTTTTCTAATAGTTTTTGAATGACTATCGAATAGTTCGATAGTTACTATTTGATATTTCCCATCACTAGTAAATATCCTCCCATTAACATGCAAAGATGATATAAAACTATTAATATCTTTTATTGGTCATAATCAGCTCAAAATAAGTAAATCTTAAAAATGTTACTTATAACCTCCCATTATACAATTTTAAACACACCCTTGTATAGATAAAATATAACATAATAAATATTATGGTCATAATAAAGATTTTTAAATTTAATGATAAGTCATATACTTTTTTTTCTAAATTAAGTTTTTCTTTATTAATAGTATTGATACGTTCTAAAAGATTCTTGTTTTCTTCCACTTTTTTTTCTAAAATGTCACTATCTTTATTTGTACCATGAATAATTTTTTTCAATTTTTTGTTTTCTTCAGTTGCAGTATTAGCCTTTGATTGAATTTTACTAACCTAAAATAAAAATATATACAATTTTTAATTATATTATTACCACTTGTAATATCAATTAAATTGTAATAAAATGTAATTTTAATAATCATTTTTAAATGAATTACTGTATTATTATTATTATTATTTAATTATGTTTAAAGTCGTCTCAAAAAGCTATAACTTGTGTCAGAGAGGACAGGAAAATCAATTTTGCCTAGTAAAATAGTCGAGTTTCTAAAAGCCTAANATTGCCTAGTAAAATAGTCGAGTTTTTAAAAGCCTAGATATAAAAATAAACAGGTCCGCTCTATACATCAGGTCTTTATACAGAGCGATACTTTTAACATTAAGCACTCTATTTCTCTTAAGATAATAATTTTTTTGGCTTTTGTTAGTTACTTATATGTATTGATTTATGTATTATAAAATATTTTTTATGTTCATCCCTTATGTCTTATAGGAGTGTCAACTTTATTCTTTAAATGACAGCATATATGTTTAAACAGCTTATAAAATATAAAATGTTCTAATTAAGAAAATGACTGATCACACTGAAAAACTTTTTCAGAAGTTATTAACATTTTTATACGTAGGTGGGTTTAAGAGCGAGACCACAATATATAAGTGATAAAAATAGCAGCACCCACTTCTCAACTCCAGTCATTACTTTAAATTATTAATAACTTCTGAAATACTGGTCCAAAAGTTGTTATTGACCAGTCACTTTCTTAATTAGATCATTTTCTATTTAATAATCTAGTTAAATATGTATGTTTCCATTTGAAAAAATAAAATTGACCCTATAAGACATAAAAGATAAACATGAAAAATATTTTATAACAGATAAATAAATATAGATATCTAACTAACAAAAGCCAAATAAAAATTCATAAAAAAGTTATTATTAAGAAAAATTGAGTGGCTAATATTAAAAGAAACAACTTTTATTGAAGTATTAATACCTTTTAAAATACTAGTTCAAATATTTTTAACAACCTGTAATTTTTTTAATTAAATAATTTTCTCATTTTTAACTGATTTTACATATACATATCCATTTAAAACCTTATGTTGATTAAATTTGAAGTGGAAAGAGGATACATGTCCAATTTTTTTTTTTTTTTTAATTACACTCTATAATTGAAAAAAAAGATTCTATGAAATTTCAAAAGAAAAAGTTATATTATTTTTATAAGTCATATTTTTGTAATTAATTATAGTTAAACAATCACTTCGTTTTATACAGTTATTACAATCCATGCCTTGGTGCAATTATAAAATTGAAATTATTTGTTTAATATTACTTTTTTTATTATTATCTTTCCTGTGATATTGCTGAAAACATTTGTGAAAGGACAACATACAACATTTGTAATATTGGCCCATCTCGTAACAAGTTTAAGAATTATAACTTAAGCTAATAAAATTTTAGTCTGAATACTTGTGCATAGTTGTTTTCTTCAAATTGTTTCATTTGGTTTTCAAAAAATTTTCTCTGAGATTCTAGCTTAGTAGTTAAAATGTAGGTAAATTCTAATTGAATTGATTCTAGTTTCTGATCTGTATCCTATATTACACAATTAAATCATAATTTTCAATATTAATATTAAAAAAAATATATATAATACAAGATGAAATTTAAATAACTTAACATATAATTAACATCTTTAATTTAAAAATTTAAAGAAACTTTAGGAATAGTTAATATAAATCTTATAGAATTTAGCTCACAAATGGAGGTCACGGTGATGGGGTCATCGATTTTCATAAAATTTATATAGATCTAATCTATATTGAATACAGAATCAGACGTATTTGGAATTTTTTGCCAATGCCCCCCCCTAAGTCGAGAAAATTGACTTTGAAAATTTTCAATTAGCTTAAATGGGTTTTTTACCTTTTTTTTTATCAAATTTTTATAACTTTTTCAAAAATTAACAAATCAACATAATTTTTTTTTATATTGAAACCTTAGATATTTCACTTTCATTTGATATCATTTTTTTTAAGGTTAAGTGTTAGACCTCCTCACAGGTGGGGATTTCAAATAGCCACTTTTTACAAATACTAGCTTTTTCAACATAACTTGTAGAAATGTTCCGGAAATACTCCACCGTTTAAACATATATCAAATTAAAGCTTATGTTATGTTCTATAAAATTATAATAAAAAAAACTGAGTGTGGATCGTGGGATCCACGGTAGGAACGAAGTTCCAATTTCATGTCTCTGGACTATCATGAGGAAAAGAATTTCAACTGTATATTATTAATAAGGATGAAAAAATAAAAAAAAAAAAAAGTAAGCTTAAACAATTGATAATATTATATTTATGTATTCTCTTGAAAAAAAATTATAACAGAACACTTGTTTAAATTATAGTATTTGTATTTTTATTATTTAAATCAACAACAATATACATGTAATGTAATTATATATTTTTACAAGCACATTATTTAAAAGTAAAATTTAGTGCTATAACTGTAATTATTATTGTTTATTATTATATATTTACAAATTTAAATTTTATTTAAATCACAACTTTCTATGATGGAGATAATTGGTTTGTGATAACTAAAATAAGAAACATAAATTTGAGATTCTATCTTTCGTAAGTATCTTGAAAACACTGCATCAATGGTGGTATTGAATCTTGTTGTTGAAACATTTGGATCATTGTTGATTCTCAAGTTAAATTTTTCAAAAAGAAATTGAACTAGTGGTTTTGATTTTTCATTTGAGAAGTCAATATTGAAATCACCAGATAAAATTAATGGCAATTTATGTAAATTTTTATTATACTCTGCAAAACACTCAGAAGCTTCCTCAGTATATTCAAAAAGTGCTTTATGAATAAATTCCTTAATATCTTTAATTTTCTGACCAGGTGACACATAGATAACGGCTATAACCAATTTAAGACCATTACCCATAATACACTCTGTGGCACAAATATCCGCAACACTGGAACTTCTCACGATATTTTGTTGATCGTTATGTGCTATGACCTCCATGTTTTGAGTTGTTACTATATTGGTTTTATCTTTCTTATTTTGATATATAGCAACTCCAGCTGCAGCAGTGGTATTGCTACGTTTAAAATGAGCAATACAGTTAAAATTAGATATATTATTAAGTTCTTCTTGATTATTCGACCACGTTTCTGAGAGTAGTAAAAAATTGACTTTTTCGGTAACCATATCAATTAAGTCATTTCTGTGTGCTTTAAGACTTTGAATGTTCAAAGTGCATAAAGACAGACCTTTTTTACTACTAATAAAATCAATGATGGCCTGAGTTTTAGTTTGTAATAAATTTAAGGATAGCCTTTCAAACTCTTGATTTAAAGAAACCGTAGATGTCGCTTGCACTCGATTATGATGAAATCGGAATTTGGTTGAGTCGTCATCTGGGGTAACAATAAATAAACCGTCAATACTTGTAACCCGAGATAGTGCGACATAAACAAGTTGTTGTGGATGTTTTTTGTCATATTCATAAACCACTTGGTCAAAACTTCCACCTTGGGATTTATGAATGGTCATTGCAGATGCCGCTAATACTGGAAAGTGTTTTCGCTTGACAATAACAGATTTATTTCGTGTCCAAGTAATGTTTGATGTACGCAACTCAATGGGAACAGCACGCTTACCAATTTTGCTTTGAACAGCCAATGAAGCATATTTTTTTCTTCTTTTTCTACCAACTTTGATTGAACTAAATTCTAACCAAAGACGACAAGGAATGTTGTCTTTGTTAAAATCTATGTGAACCAACTTATCAACAGCGCCATTGACTAATCCATCAGTAACATCAATGTTGGTAGTTATAAGATATTTTTTTCCTTTTACTAAATTTATTTGGTAAGGTAATCCACCAGTATCAATTACTGATTTTTTATGTAACGCCACTCGAATGGACGCTTCATGCTCAGCATTTTTGGATCCAGTAATGACATCTGTAGCTGTAGAAATAACTTTATCTGGATAGTTTTCTAAAACTGTGTTATTGTAATGATTAACAGCAGTATTAGTATGAAATAACCGGAGTCCGTTTGGACATAAACGATTTGCTTCAGCTTTTGTGAAAAATCTCGATTCAATGAGGTCTAACTCGGACTGTTTTAAAACGTCTCCGTTTCCAATTTTCGTAAGAATTGATGAAAATGTAGCATTGGCTTGTCTCATTATTTCTGTTAATTCAAAAAATTTGAGACCTCGCCACAAATGTGGACCAACCATCCGTGTTTTAATTGGTTTATAAATTAATGTAGATCTTACTGGTGGAGCTTGACGCAAGTCACCTATTAAAATGATATCAATACCACCAAAATCAGCAGTTTTATTTCCGGTAATTTGTTTCAAACGCATATCAATCTTAGCTAAAAGTTCTGCACTAATCATACTGATTTCGTCAATAATCATTACTCTCACGTATCTAAAGAGAGATCTGTATAAATGCAACATTTCCGATGATAACGGCAATAGTTTTGAAATCGAAATTTTAAGAGCAGTGTGAACTGTTGTTCCATCTATCGCCACAGCAGCTTTTCCAGTAGATGCGCAAGTTATATATGCATTGCAGTAACCATCAGTGTTAGTAAAACGATTGTAGATGTCCATTATTAGTCTTATTACAAAAGTCTTACCACTACCAGCTGGACCAGTGAAAAAAATTTGAAATGGCTGAGTATCTGGAGTTTGCAGATGAGATATAATATGCATTAAGAGCTCTTTTTGCTTACTATTCGTTGATCTCATAAGTTCATTAAACTGTTTTGTGTCCATCAGATTTTCTCTTTTTTTTGCGATGGCGCCGAGTTTTTGGATTGTGGCGTTTTGTATGTCAGCATTGATGGAAGAGTCAACATCTTGCAGTAGCCTTTCATATGGATCATCATTAAATAAGACTCTGGCCTCATCTCTAAGCTGTTCACCTTCATTGTCATCATCGTCATATCTGCCTAATTGTCTGCAAATTTCAAGGGTCTTTTCTATGTCCAAGTTCGATTCAAATTCTTTTCTGCGTTGTAATATGAGGTCTTTATTATCTTCATAAATTTTAATAAATTTATTTTCAGCAAGAATTTCATAGTCTTCACTTCTAAATGGAATGTAAAGTAACACCATTTCTCTTCTGTAATCATTGAAATCTTTTGCCATGTCATAATTGCGATATCTAATAATTCTTGGCTGTTTCCTTTTTCTGAACTCTCCTTTTTTATTTTTATCATAATTTGCGACAAATTGAGCTAATGTTACATCTTCTAAAGTATTAGGTCTTTTTTCATATTTGTCAAACCAATTATCTTTCCAAATATTTGTACAATCGTCACCTAACTCGCTTAACTCTTTCATTGATTTTCTTATTCTTTGACGTTCGTTCGGATAAATGGTTGGAATGTAAGCAGATATTATAGATGCTTTTGCCATTGGTTCTCGCAGTAAATACCAAGCTGCTTCTTGTGCTGGCATTTCTACAGAATTGAGTATATCAATACTTAATTTTTTAGTGATATCAACGATATCAAACTCAGGATGCTCGTCCATAGTTTCAATAATTAATCGTTGTAAATTACTGATGCCTCTATTATGTTTATTAACATACTCAACGACATAAGCAGCACAAGCATATTCGTCTTGAATAATTTGAAAATCCATATTAGATTTTAAACAATGAAATACAAATGGATTAAAAGGATTATGCCACTTTTCAGTTGGCAGCCTTTTGTAAAATAACTTTGGTCGAACAATGCCAGCACAAATAATATCGTGATAATGTTGATCTGAGATAATATTATTTTTCGAATAAAACTCATCAAAATCTTTGTAATCAAAATTAGCTAAATTATTTGTAAGTAACTTGTAATGTCTCTTATATTCTTGAAATTTTTCAACAGAGTAATTTGAATCTGTATTTTTCATTGGCCGTAACGTTATTGTCCTCCGAAATGGTAAGAATGGCGCTCCAAAACGGCAATTGTTTTTTTTTGCAGGATTCATGTTTTTGTAACATGTAAAAGTGTGTTTGTGTGTTTGTAATTTAATATTTCCGGATGCCTCTGATTCAGATACCGAAATTAATGAGTCTACCATTTCGATAAAATCTCGAGTGTTATTTAGTAAATCTTCAGGCGCATTATCAAACCATAAAAGTATATGAGCATGTGGACTTCCTCGATGTTGAAATTCAATACGTTTAAAAAAATGACACACTCTATATTTACCAAATGGATTGCCTCTTTTACTTTGTAAAATACTCATTAGGCAATTTACTAGCTTGTTGAAATAAATAGCACAAGTAATTGCATCTTCATTAACTAGTTCAGCTTTTTGTACATAAGACATTTTTGATAAAAATTCATCACAAATATCCACTCCATTATTTTTAAGTTTATATAGTATTTTTAGTAAATCTGTCCATCCTGTTTCATTTGCACTAAGTGTCATGAAAGCAGTCGGTGCTCCTAATTGCCTAATCATAGCAAAAAGTTCTTTTTTCCGTTCAGTCCAATACCAAGCAGAGTTTGGTATACATCGAAGAAATGCGAGATTACTTTCTATACAACAATTAATGTATTCTTCAGATTGAATGTCTGCTTTAGTAATTTTAGTATTGCTTCCAACATGTTTAAAAGCAACGTTTACAGAGCTGCTAACTCGTTGTCTCATAATTTTTGCTGCTACATACAAAAGATGTTGAGGGTCTGTGGCACGGCGATCTGCACGTCGTAGTTCGCTGGTAGCTTGCATAAAAGAAGTTACATTGCATCCCTCTTTATAATTTCTGAACTGTCCACCATAAATCGTAGGGTATGAAAGCTCTTCAGCATACTGGTCAAATAAAAGACTTTTTGGGGCACTTTTTTCGCCTGGTGCCATTAGTAACATTTCATCTTCATTCCATAACATAGTTTGTTGCTGAGCAGTCAGATTATCTTCAATTGGAACATGTTCACTGTATTCTTCAATTGAAATATCATTATTAATTTCAGTATCTGAATAATTATTCAGAAATGCTTCACTGATGGTAATATTTTCATGAATGTAAAGTGGTGTTTTTACCAAATAAGATAACCATTCTTTGATGTTCTTTTTACTAACTAGCCCATGGACGTAGCTGCTTTTATGAATTAATTTTTTTTTTAAATGAACATAAAAACAATGATCATCTTCGAGATTTCTGGGTAACTGCTTTACCATAGTATCAACTTTAACAGGAACATTAATTATTTGTCCATAAATACCATACTGTCCATTCATGTGCCTCAATCTCCGTATCTGCATAAATGGTATTCTTGGTGAAATTAGCCGCTGTTCAATAATATTTAATTTAGGCAAATGAAGTGGAATTTTTGGGTATGAAAAACCGTTGTACGTTGATAATAATGGGATTTTTCCCTTGTCTAAAGCACTTCTACACGTTGAACAGATTTTAAAAGTGGAACCAATATTAAAATTCTAAAAAAAAAATTAATGTAAATTTTAAAAAATTTGAAGAAAAATAATATTAAAAATTAATGAAATTGTAATTATAAAAAAAAAAAATTACCGGCAATATATTCTGTAGAATATCTGCATGAGCATCAGTCGTATTCTTTAGATCACCTTTCCACCAAAGCCTATTACAAACAGCACAGGAATGTCCGAAAGAATTGTTTTTAAATTTACGGTGAAATTGTAAGTGACCATTCGCATGTTCATAATAGCGTGTGTAAATTGGTAAAGTAACTGTAGCTTCGTCAATTGGCATGTTTTCTTCGTCGTTATTATTGCCATCGTCATTGTTTTCGCAATCTACATTATCATCATCGTTGTTAACACTATTTAAATCTGTTTCAATAGATAGATCAACCATTTCATGATCATTAACTCTATCGTTCGAAATAAATTGGCCTACTTCAATGTATGGTGTGAAATGGTTGTTTTGTAAATGCAGATGAATGAAATTTGATGAATAATTTGATTTAAAATGACAAAATATGACATCTGATTTTTTAGAGACGCTGTTAAAAAAATGAAAGTGCACGCAGATGTTTTGATTGTATTCTTTTGAAAAAATAAATATGCAGTCCAAATCTCCATACTCAGATGCACTACTTAATATTGTCTGAGCACTAGATGGACTTTGGCATGTGTGCAAATATTCTGATTGTAGGAGTAGCTTTCTTAGTTCTAGCGAGGAAATTGATAAGTTCATTACTTTAATTAAAGAATAGAAAAGACAATTTCCATCGCCAGGAATGTCGAAAAATTGATTTAAAATAATATTCGGCATTGAACAATTTTGACCTTGCTCGTAAGTATCGAAATTAAATGAGTAATTTGGGTTGTCAATAGACCTGCAATTGAAAAAAAAATAAAAAAAAATGTTTACTTTTCAAAAATAATATAAAATCAAATAGACTCATTAATAATAATTTACATTTGTGTAGTAATGGTTTCTTTTTTTTTCTTCAGTATACCAGATTTCGGTCCTTTTTGAATACTATAATTTTAAAATTTAATCATTTATAATGTAAAACAGCGCAATAATAAATTTTAGACAAGAGCCTAGCTGGTTAAAGTACGTATAAGTGGTAATTTTATACCTAGGAATTTACTCAGGACCCTTGGAATAAGATAAAGGTTTTAAAATATCAAAATTTAATTTTTTGAAAAATATATATTAAATGGTGGTTACTCACTGGGGAACTATTACTTATTACATACATTAATTGGCTAGACTCATGGTAAAATTTTAAATAACTAAAAAAATATTATACCTCTCAAGTTTATCACAATCCAATGCTTTTTTTTTTCTTTTTGTCGCAGCCTATACTCTTTGCAACATTGTGCATTTGATTTATTATTAACTTTTTTTTTTTTGCTCTTATTAAGTTCCTTTTGTCGCTGCCGGTATTCTTTACAATAATCTGCATTTGACTTTTTCATTTTTTTTTTTGGATAAACTTATTATTGTAGCTCTATATTAGGGCGCTTCAGGACATCATATGACTGCCAGTTATCAATTCTGTTTGACCGAAAAATTATATGCGGCGCATGTGGGCGGGGCATAATGTCAATGATCAATTCTGATTGGTTACTGTCGCTTTTTTCTGTCGCTCCAAAATTTTACACTTTTTTTCTGCAGCCCTCATGCGGAAACCGTAACCCGCGATAAGGAACTTCGTTCCAAAAAATTGTACCGACAACCTACCTTTTACGTGCAAATGGACTATGGCTATATCATTAAAGGGGATAAAAAATAATGTAACAGAAAGAACATAGAGGAACTCCGTTATTATGAAAGAACATCGAAGAAAAATTATAATTTAACNATGAAAGAACATCGAAGAAAAATTATAATTTAACTGTGTTGAAACTTTCATGGATTGTCATATTATTTGAAAAGCTTGAGGATTTATCCATGTTTGCAGTTGATTGCTGACGTTTCCGACTCATTGCAGAGTCCATCTTCGGAGCGATAGTTACTGCTCGGTGGCTGAAACTATACTGGCGGCTTATCTTGTTATCAGTCTGTTTTTATACGTTGGTTGTTTATCATATCAGTTGTTTACTGTATCGGTTATTTATTATATCTGTTTATGACTCATGTTGTTTACGGTATCTTGTTTTTGTTGACGACTTTGTTTTTGATTATTGTTCTTGTTTTTGACATTCTTGGCATTTTGGTCTTCCTTTTCTGCACCGACAGTTTTCCATTACGTTGATAGTAACTTTTCTTGATTGAACTGTTTTCAGTGTTGTTAGTTGATTTTCTTTTTGTCTGGTGTAAGATGGGTAATCAAGTTTTGCTTATTTTCCATCCGTCTTCTCTGTTGAAATTCTCTGGACATTTTTCGATTTCTATTGTACATTCGTTTGCCAAAATGAGTTTTTTTGTTTAGTATTTTTACTTTATCGAATTGGATGTCATGTTTTTTGTTTTTAGCGTTTTCGGCTATTGCGGATTTTTCTGTCCTTTGGTAATCCACGTCTTTTTCGTGTTCTTTTATTCTTGTTGCAATATCTCTTCCTGTTTGTCCAATGTAGGATTTACCACAAGAGCACGATATTTCATATACTCCGGGTGTTTGCATCTCTGGTAGCTTATCTTTCGGGTTTCGGAGTAATGATCCTGCGATTGTGTTCGGTTTAAAAACATTTCTTAGTTTAAGTTTTTGAGCGATTCATGAAATGTGGTCAGTGATTCCGTGTATGTACGGTAGTATTAAAGTTCCTTTCTTTTCATCTTCTTTGTTTTCTTCATCGTCATTGCGTGTTGTGTTACTAATAGATTACTTTTATATAGAAACTCGATAATTTTATCAATTATTTTATACCACCAAGTTGTGTCGTATGCTTTGGAGATATATATTTCTTCTTTGATTTTGTTTAGGTTATCATTAGTAGTTCTATATTTTTTGATACCACTTTATTCTACTGAGAAGTGTTTATTTGTTTATAAAAACTAGGTTATCCTGATATTAATATATTTTCGGCTTCGTTTATATCTATATTAATAAGTGTATTTTCGTTTTTACGTCTAAGTTTATATTTTTTAAACTGGTTATTATAGTTATCATCATTACTATTATTATAAAAATATATGCCTATGTTATTTACAATTTCTATTTGATTTGTATACCTGTCTAGTAAGTGGATTGTAGTGTTTTTCCTTAGTTATTTAAGAAATTTTATTTTAAACAGACTAGTTTGCAATTAGCTTTTTCGTTGACATTTGTGTACATTTTTACCATGTTATCTTCTTACTATGTATTAGGTATTTTGTTCTAGCACGTAATTTTTTTAATATGATGAAATGTGTTATTTATAATTAAAGCTATATATTAAAAATATTATTAATTTAAAACCAAAAAATATTTAACTCATAACCAACAGAAAAATTACTAAAAGTTGCGGATTTGTATTTTGGAAACAATATTACCATTATCAACGCTAAACACATAAAGATAATGAATTTTTCAATGGGCCATCTTGGCCATTAATTAAATTGTTCTAATTCTTAAACATTGCTATTGCCTACCATATATTAAGCTCTTTGTAATTATTTACGTTTTTAATGAATTGTTTATAACACATTGGCTCGAATATCTCTCAGTCCATCCCTGACCAGAAATAATACTTAATGTTATGTTTTTCATTAGTTTTATGGTTTTAATAGAGTGACATGTGTCAATAAATGTTCAGCCACCGGAGATTTATCAACTTCTTGATTTTTAATGTTTCTTAAGAATTCTTTAAAACTGACCTCTATATTTCTTTTTGTTTGTCTTACATAACATTTATTACAACTTTCACATTGTATTTTATTAATGCCCGATTTCTTCCTTTTTTCTACATTATCTTTGGTGTTACCTAATAAATCTCTTAAATTATTACTCTTAGATGTCATTAAATAATACCAAAATATAAAATAGGTGATCTAATTACATTTCTGTTCACCCACGCTAGTGAGTGTATTAGCTGCTGTCCTTTCTTTTTATTCCACTTTTGTACTATATTTGAAATTACATTTCCGTTATATCCATTAAATCTAGCTATTTCTCTTATAACGCCCAGTTCTTTAACAAAATCTATTTTATTCATCGGAATTTTAACTAATCTGTAAACCATACTATTAAAAGCTGCCATTTTGTGTTGCCAGCTGTGGTTTGAATTTTTCAGAATATACTTGAACGTGTTGAGTTTTTCCAATAAATTTCAAAATTTAGTTTCTCCTACTATTTTAAGTAATAAATCCAAAAAAGCAATTTTCCATCTACTCCTGTTTGTATGTGAATTTCATCGATGGGTAAAAAGAATTTAAATGTTACACCCAAAGAAAAACCTCAATCAAAATTGAAAGAGAAATTTTATCAAGGGTTTATGATAATGTTTTATTAATACGAACAAAATAACTATTCTTATAAATAATTATTGTTCAAGACAAGAAAAAAAAATATCATATTGATAAATATATCATTGATTCAATAGTAATGATATATTTATCAAATTGAACAATGAATTTATTATATAGATCGAGGTTTTTCTCTGGGTGTATATGAAAACCTCCGTATTAAAATTTTTGTTTATTATTACAAAAAATTATCTAAATACCTAACCTGAATTTTTGAAAAATGAACATAACTGTGTTTTAAATTTGTTTCGAACCTACCCATGAAAAGTTCTATTAAAAATGGTGATAACGTATTTCTCATTGCTGTGTCCTCAAATTGGGGTTTTTAAATTAATTTTGAAACTGAAAAATGTTTAATTCATACATAACTTTGTAAAGTTAATAAGACCTCTTATTTTATTCTGTTTTATGTTTTGTGCCTTTAGCCAGTCATTAAAAAAACTAATTGTTACATTTATCGGAATACTGAGAAATAAGGCTAATACATAAAAAGAAATTTGTCGATCATTATTTTGATTAGTATAACCAGATAAGAAAAAATTATTTTTAATTAAAAAAATATAAAAATGTTTAAATAGATGAAAACACCTTTAGTAAGTCTTAATTTAAGTTGTAAGTAGGGGCATTTCTATTATATTCATTAAATATAGCTATTTCTCTTATAACGCCCAGTTCTTTAATAAAATCTATTTTATTCATCGGAATTTTAACTAATCTGTAAACCATATTATTAAAAGCTGCCATTTTGTGTTGTCAGCTGTGATTTGTATTTTTCAGAATTTACTTGAGCGTGTGTGTGTTTTTCCGATAAATATAAAATTCTAAAAACTGAGTTTTAAAACTATAAAACACCTTTATACAAGGGGGGTAAAAACTTTAAACTTGTGTATTGAAACTAGAACATTTTCAATTTAATTTTTGAAAGTGTTCCAAAAAGACTGACACTTTTATATATATCTTAAATTAAAGCTTATGTAATATACTTTAATTTGAAAAAAAAAAATTTGACCTCTGGACTTGTCTTCGTGGTGAAAACGGACATCAAAGTTAAAGAAAAACGTACGATTTCCGTGAAAAAAATCTCGATTTTATATGTTATATTATTTAATTTATATTTTATATAACTTTTGGAAAAATGTATGGATCAATATTATTATTTTTTTATAATAAATATTTATATACTCCTTTCATCTACACGCTTTTTTTGTAAATCGGATCATACCCCTTTAACAAGGGGGGTCAAAACTTTAATCATGCGTATTGTTACTATGATATTTTCAATTTAATTTTTGAAAGTATTCCGGAAATACTGACACTTTTATATATATCTTAAATTAAAGCTTATATAATATACTTTAATTTAAAAAAAAAAATTTGACCTCTGGATTTGTCTTCACGGTAAAAATGACTACCGTATTCAAAAATTTGCTATTTTTGTGTTAAAATTCTGGGTTTTGTATTTTATTTTATTTTAAAATACCTGACAAGGGGAGTACAGATTTTCATAAATATTATATAAATAAAAAATTAATATAGCATAGAAAGTTAAACTTATTTAAATTTGTTTGCTTCTTTTAAGTCGAGAAAAATAACTTTGAAATTTGAACTAGCTTAAATAGCCTATTTTTTCACCCGACGGTAGCGACGTACGGTTGCCGAGTTGGTAAAATTTATGTTTTACACGCTTGGGGTACGAGGTTCCAACCCGCGTATGGCAATGAATTTTTTGCATTTTTTCTTAATTCTTTTTAAGTTAGTATAAATTTTTAACTCGTTTGATTTTTATCTCATTTAGATTCAATAACTTCAATAAAGATCAAGGATCCCATAATTTTAGTCGCCCCTTGTAAGAAGAAATTTCTTATTCGTATTAAAATTATTTTACTATATTTTAAGTTTTAGCTTCGATGCAAAGCTGAGAAGATATTTTTTTGTGAATATCATTTATTTTCTCTGCTCTAACTTGACCTACTTTTTTCAACGATACGTCAAATGACTACAATTCGTATCTAGTTGAAGATATTACCCTCAAAAATTGAAAAAAAATTTCAATTTATCAATTAAACAGTTAGTTATTCCATGTTCTCCATAAAGACAATTAATATCATTCATTTCTAATGTTTTCAAAGTATTTATTGACGAATTAAGTTTGATATGATAGGTTTTAACTACAAAATTTAATCATTTTACTTTGTAATTTCATAATTTTTTTACTCTATTTGTGTGTGCTACTACTAGACTATAATATTACACATTTTTTATAACATGTTGCTATATAAATCATTTCTAAAAAAATTTTATAATACGCTCAATTGAGTAAATCTTTTTAACAACTTTGTTTTGATTGGTACATTTAGTTAAAGTAAATCATTAAAATTAATTAAGTTCTCAATATTTCAATTGTAGAATCTTTTC